AAATATAATTGCATATTTACATGATTTTTTTTTGGTTGCTCAAATAGATATACTCAAATAATTGTAAGTTGATTGTGTATATATAAATGTATAATTATTCATAATTGTATAGAGAAAAAAAACATGGCAAAACCAAAACCCAAAATATCGTAGTGGCAACAAAGGCCATCTCTGCCGCACCTTGTAGCGAAGAAAGTATTGTACCAAAAGTTAGTCCACTATCCGCGTATGACAATGGTGCTTTCCGAAATTTACAAGTTATCCACCATGAGATTTTGTTGAACTCTGAGTCTGAGCTTCCACCACCACCAGTTGGGTTAAATAGTTTTGTCCCACCTCTTATAAACCTGTTAAGTTGAAGAACAAAAATTAAAAGAGGAAAAAAATTCATTTTTAAATGCCAAGATTTACCGGAAAAAACCCATGCGTTTGTGATATCTTGAAACTGATTATAAGGAAAAAAAAGAGAGAAGAAGAAGGTAGTTTTGTACATAAAAATACATTCCAAGTGCTGACAGCTTCATTCATTTATGTACATTGGCTGGCTTGGATCAAATAGTGATGCCTCTACAGTATATCTTCTATAAACATCAAAAGAAAACAAAGCATATAGAAAGACAATGAAGTTTGAATCCAGTCCAGAGGATCTGATTATGAGTATACAATACTTTTTACCATCTATTTTAGAACTGGAGGCTGAAGCTCACCAAAAAGCAGGAAAGAGGAGGATATGGGAGGATATGGAAATCTGAAGTGCTAAAAGGAACTAGGTTGGGTAGAGCTGCTAACCAATTTATCAGTTCCAGCTGAGTCTGGTGAGAGTGGGGGAGGCATGTTCCTCAAGAGTCCAACATCATCTGCCCCGATATCCAGCACAACTGCTTCACCGTTTTCTGAACCAAGATCTTCATTCTGGATTGCTCTCAAACCATCCAACACTTCGGCCTCATGTCCCTCTCCTGTTGCAAACCCCGGAAGCCCAATTCTGCCACAGCTGTTGCCATCCTCCTGACAGCATAGTTCGTTTCGAACTCAAGAAGAGGATCAACCAACTCATTCACTAAATGATTTTGAATTTTGTTGATGGCCATGTTGGCCAAATTTATATCGTGCCGGTGCCTATTGGTATCCACTGCTTGTAATGATGATATGAGCTCGATCAAGACCACGCCAAAGCTATATACGTCACTCTTGTCCGTGAGTTGATAGCATTGGTAATACTCAGGATCAACATAGCCGGGGGTCCCTTGTGGAGCAGTTGAAACATGCGTGACATCGTTGGGGAACAATCTTGAGAGCCCAAAATCAGCGACCTTCACACAAAAGTCGTTGTCTATGAGAATATTGTTGGTCTTGACATCACGGTGTATTACATCATTGCGGTGAAGGAAAGCCAGTGCATCAGCTGTCTCTATGGCGATGCTCAATCGAACAGGCCAACTAAGAAACCCGGATTCGACTCTTTTCCCATGGAGATGGTCAGCCACTGTTCCATTAGGAATATACTCGTAAACAAGGAGGAGTTCTCGGCTGCGTCTTGAGGTGCATCCGTACAGCTTGACAAGGTTCCGGTGTTCGAGACGAGTTAAGATCTCGACCTCATTCATAAACTGCTCCACACGTTTGAAATTGTTCTCGTAAAGGCGCTTCACTGCAACTACACGGCCATCCTGTAGCTTACCTGATCAAGCAATTAAAAGAAAATATTACAAAACAGAATTAACAAGTATTTATTGGTGAGTGAAATTGGTAACTTATAGAGATGCAAAAGGAAGTATTTTCAAACCATAGTAAACAGTGCCAAATCCTCCGTCTCCAAGTTCTTTAGCAGGATTGAAATTTTCAGTGGCTTCCTCTAATTCAGTATAGCTGAAGACCTGAACTCCAAAGTAAGTGCTCCCCTTATCATAGTCTGACTTTGAAGTAAAGGAAGGATACGAAGGGATGCTTTGAGATTGAGAGAGATTAGTTGAGGGAGTAGCAATGCTTTTGCTCGTGAGGGGTGTCGGAATCTCTTTGCTTTGAGCTAGTGCAGCACGTTTCTTCTTCTTTTTTTGTATGAAAGAATATATATAGAATCCTATGAAAATGCCAAAAAGGATTGCACCTCCTACAGCAAGACCTGAAGATGAAACAAATATTGCTTAAATTTTCTTCTTTCTGCCATGATGTCATCAATAT